TGATCCTTCTGAAGAACAGTGTAAAATTGACAAGATAGACTAACCTAGTCAAAAATTAATATACTGTAACACATACCTTGCCCATTCCTTTGCAAACTATTCAGTGATCTGTGAGGTTTCTGTGGTGGTTGCTTCTCTTTCGTGTTTTCCTGAGCTTTTGCTGTCTCCTGTGCCCAATCCTCGTTCACATAGTCAGGCAACTGGTTCACTTCCTGCTTCTCACTAGGCACATCCGGTTTCTTACTAGCAACGTCCGGTTTTTGATCACTCACTTCCTGTTTCTGGTCGTCGATTTCTGGTTTCTGATCATTTTCATCCAGTGTTGTTTTTCCAACTTCTTTGTGTGCACTGACTTCTGTCTCAAATCCCAAGTTCATTTCTGATGTATCATCACAAGTCGAGGGATCAATTAACTCCTTGTACGGGTATTCCCTTACCGAGTTTCGAGGCTTAAAAGCACTGAATGTGTCAATGAGCGTGAGATTATTCAAGTCCATTCCATGGTTCAATGCTTGGCAGATTTCTGCATAGGCTACGGTATTTTTCAACATTCCTTCGCAGACGGCTAACCGGATATCAATGTCACGAGGAAAAGTTACCACGGTTCGACGGCCATCCTGACTTATGGTTGATGCAATTATAATATTCTCTGTATACGAAGTCTCTAGGTATATTGGCCCGAGTGAAGAATTGAAAAATGCCTCGTCTGCTGAGCGGCTTTGTTTCCCCATGAGTGGTGGGTCGATGAATTGAACATATAGGGGCATTGGGAACTGTGTTACAATCTCTGCAAGAAAGTACTCTTTTCCATCAGTCAGAGGTTGGAAGCCAGCCACACAATCTTTAGGCAGTTCAATAGTCTGACCATTCTGATTGACACAAATCAACTTTTCTTCACCTTTCTTGCTTTTATCAATGCTTTTCAAGTGCAGTTTATCACCAACATTGAGGATCTCCTCGTCTTTGGATGCACTGTAATAACCTTGAATACATAACAGAATTTCTTTTAAAATATGGAATATTTTGGACAATACAATATACTGTAAGTTCTCTGTTATCCCCCCACCTCCTCTCAAATAAGCACCATCTCTAATAAGGCACCACCTCTAATAATACCACTTTATAGCAGGAAATTAATTGAGGCCTCCCCTATTTAAGCCCCTTTTATTAAGCCACCTATCTATTAATCAATTAAGCTGCATTGTGCCCTGATGTGCCCTATCTTATCATTGTACTCTGTCTAATGCCAGACGATTTTACTATATGTTATTCACAATGAATGATTGAACATTTCTGATCAACACTTTGAGGGAATCGTAGGGTATACAGACTAGATTCATTAAGTTTCCTAGATTCATTAAGTTTCCTAGATTCATTAATTAAGTTTCCTTTGAGATGTTACCTGATACTTGCAACTTGGTTTGAAGCATCACATATAAAGTGAATGTATACTAATCATACGGAGTCAGCCAAGGACGTCGGAGTGGCTCTAAAAGGGGGGGGACACTTAGCGCCCGCTGAAGGCGGGTGACATTCTAGGGGGTCCTTGGGCATGCCCCCCGAAACATTTTTAAAACTAGAGTGTCTGAAATGCCATTTCCTGCACTTTAGAAGTCCTGAGTTCTAAAGGTACCAAATGTCTCAAATTGTTTTGTCTACATGCGTAACTGTGAAAATATCGATTAACTTTGTGGTTTATTATTGACCATTGTTAAAAAGTGTGTGTGTGGGGGGGGGGGGGGGCAAAAAAGAAACATTTTT